GAATTAAAGAATATATATAATACGTGTCTTTAAATTGGAATTTATGCATTGCGTTTATATCGAGAACGGAAAAAATTTTTTGAAATTAAAATCTTCATCATTTTTTCTCGTCTAATATAGCGTCTAGAACATCGTACAGCATCTTAAGACTTTACTTAAGACAATCTTAAAATAAGAACTGACTATGAATATCAGCCTTAAAATTAGATTTAGCCAATAATATGCAAATGAGACAAAAATTTATGCACATAGTGGGATATGAATATAGTAATATGTAGTGATATATTAATAACACATCTTCGTTCTTTTGAGTGAATAAAACAGACAACTATATAGGATTCATATAATAGGTTTGTCATAATTGTAATTAAGTACAGAAATAATTGAGACGCTAGTGATATATGTATTAAAATAAAAATTATATAATAAAATTTTGCATATTTTTGAACAATTATGTTAATAATCTCTATGTCTTAATTTAATTACAAGAGTATTTTTTATATATTATAATTTGTTCTAAACATTCTCTCTCTTTATACACATATAAACCTATATAATATGTTAAGACACATAAACTTTCTGAATAGAAAAAATAGCTTTCCTAATAATTTGTGTGACTTTATCGATACCGCTTGCACGATTACCCAGAGCAATAATTTCTTCATATAGCTCTTAAGGATGTATATCGTTTCACTTTAGCCAGCGTTTAAAATTTCTCCATTATCTTGCTTCTGGTTTTGAAAATGGCTGAAATGAACCAGGTTGTACCCATGACAAACCCATTGGTTTATTTTCTTCTTCGTCCTGCAAAGTACGATAAATTGATTAAATGTATAAACTTGTAATGTGTTTTATCGTAATGAAAGTGATATACTTATTTACTTTTGATTCGTAAATCTCTTGTTTAATGGGGTCGTGTACTTCTTTCACATATGCATTAAATGTAATATAATGTGGATCATCCATGGTAGGTGAGTTAAACACTTGATTTACACTTTCCTTTACACATGCTTTCACACGATCTCGAAAAGCTTCAAAATTATTTTCATGCCTGCAATATCGCCAATTAATTCACACATGTAAATATCCTGGATGATATATTATTTTCACGTTCATTTCTTTTAAGGACAAATATACTTACAAACTAGATGCCTCCTCGTTTATTGAAGTCATTTTCGCGTCTAGTTTAATGAATATCTTAGTGATATACTGTAATAATTGCCAAATTCTGTTATTTCTTCTCCATTCAGGAAAGCCCCATGATGTGCACAATTCTCCACTTTCTAGATTTATTAGTGGATGGAATATTTGAGTTTCAAACACAACTTTCTAAAACACATTTGAGTGAAAAAAACTATACGTAAGGTTGATTATCTGAGTCAGTATTCTTACAGGGCAATCTCCAAGTGGAAAGTTAGGAGGCAGTGTAATGGTGAATCTAAAAATTCCACCTTTGTAAATTCCTTGCCGAATGAACTGTACACCAAACCATACTGCGACAAAATGTGAAGATGAAGTATTAGAACTTTTTACAACCGCTAGTTTAACTACATTAAAGTGAAATAGGCAAAAGATATAGTATAGATATATTTACATCAGAACCATTATACAAGTCGTAATCGGGAAGAGCAAGACCTATAAAATAGGTTTACACCTATCAAAAACATACTAACATTTCAACAGAAAGAAACGTAGTATGCAAACAAGAAAAGGAAAGAGAAAGGGTATTTGTTCCTTGACATGCAAGTTATAAAATACTAATTCCTGTTTCGAAACATTAATATTACAGGTTATAAGTTATCACAGAAAATTACATGCCAAATTTCGAATATATTAAATAAAACTTATACAGTCTTTAGCAATACTTACATAAAGCGTTCAAAGCAGATGGTATCACATAAATCCCCTTTAAATCTTGAGAACATAACATCTTACTGAAAAAAATATTATAAAATCAGTTATCTTTTCATACACATCCGATAATATTACTAAACTTACTATTCAGACAAAATGTTATATTCCTGTGAGAAAATAGCATGTTGTTTGTTGATTTGCCACACAATTGGTCTATCAATCATTTTTGCAGACATACTCAATGGAGAATCTCCATGATTGCTTCCTGGTACAAGCTTCCTAAATGAGCCTTGTCTATTTAGATTATCATCCTTGCTGTCTTCGCTCTAAAATAAGAAACAGAATATTATTAAATTATTACGAATTTGATTATTACGAAAATGATAATTAAAATATCATCACACTATTAAAAGTTAAAATATATTTATTAAGAGTAAAATAAGATAAGTGTATATAACTCTCCATTTTTATCGCTTCCAATCGGCAGCTTTTATATATATATATATTCTTTGTATTATTAAAAGAATAATCAGCAGAGGGAATAACATCATTCTTATATTTCTAAGATAAAATATGAATAAAAAACAAGATGAATGTATCTACAATTCTTCATTTTCACATAAAAATGTAAGATTTATTATTATTATTATTATTATTATTATATATATATACACATATGTATAATTATGCGTTATTATTTATATTATTGTGCAAACTTGCGAACTTGAGCGAAATATCATATCTTTCGATATATGTTTAAAAAATTACCTTGGCCGACATGATGAGTGATCATGAGAAAATAAATAGAATGATTTAATAACTCGCTACATTACAATTGCGAAGCGCGACATCATGCGAGATAAGATTCTCTCGTCAGTAACAATCGATAATCTGATGGAGTGGCGTCAATCATGAATCGATGAATCATATGACATGAAGCTCTGATTTCTGATCAGCTCCAATTAGCTTCGACATCGACAAGACATTATTAAGAGGGCCACCTCTGAGTAAATTTTCGACTATCAAATGGATCCGAGGATAAGTGAAGAACAATGATATTACCAACCAATTTAATATTATCATACGAGTTTCATTATCAATAGAGATGATTGTATAAAGAAAAAAATATTAATTTTTCAACAATAAGTATATGAAAAAATTGTCAGGCGCTCCATCGGTGTCGCAACTTATGTTGATAAAGTTCATTCGACGCGTTTTTACACAAAACGAATTTGGCAAATAAAGTATCGCTCTGCCCCATGATGAACAGAAATATTAATCGTTAATACTTTATGTGGCAAAAAATAGATGTTCAACGAGAAATCTTATACTAAATCTTACTTTAACTGGGACTCGAAAAACTATAATTCTATATGATGAAATTAATGAAACTAGAGTGATAATTAAAGATCTTATGGTTAGAATTAAATATAATTATAGTAAATTTAAATCTTTTATTAACTGGAAACTCTTAAATAATAACTTTATGATAAAATTTTGTTGTGGAAATTGAGGATTTGTGGTTAAAAATTCTGTAAATTTAGAATTATGGTAAAAATTAAGAATTTTATTAATTTTATATTAATATAAAAAAATAAAAATTTTTAAAGCTATAAGTTATAGCTACAACTATCTCCTTGTGAAGTTGGTAATACTGATTTTTAGTATCTATAATCTTAAATCTAAATTTAATTTTATTGTACAATTTGATGAATTAAAATAAATTTCCACAAATATCGAATAATTTCAAACATCAATTGTACAAGAGCATCCTCTAAACAAAACAATCTTTATTTTGGTTACAACGAAATCATCACTATATAATTTTTATAATATGACGAACAATATAACTTTCTAAACTATACGAATTTATGATTACACAAAGTTTATTTCGCATTTCAAATTTATAAAATAAAATATTGAAAATTTCAACTCATTTAATAAAAAATCTTAAAAAAAAAACTTAATGTTCCAAATCACTTGATTTGGATTCTCGTCTTTCTATCAAATTTTTCAGCTTTCTTACATCAATATTTTTAGGAACTGTTATTTTCCATAATTTGTTCGACATTCTGCTGCTTCTCCTTCTTCAGAAGATGTCGCCTAATTATTGTTTATAATTTGTGGATTCTGTGACTCATTCACTGCAGATTCTGCTGGCTCTCCGGTAGTTGATTTTCAGTCTCTGGTTCTTCTTGTCGACAATGCAAACAATATGGTAACAATGCGGTCGATGTCGGATTCAAAACCGGCAATTTCGTCATTTGAACGGTGAGAGTTTGCTTTTTAAAGTTCAACTCTTGTTGTAGATTTTTAGGAATAAGATTAATACCTTTAATGGATATGATTTTTGGTTTATTGCTTGTTTGTTTATTTGTGGATGTTGTAGTCTGTTCTTCTATCGATTCAAACTTGCTATCGTTTTCTCGTGTTTGACTTGCTGTTGCGTTTTTTAGTGCTTCGCTCGAAATTTCGTTTTTCTTTTTCTTCTTTTCATTCGGTATTTGCACTTTTTCTATAAAATTAGATTCGGAAAATATTTTCCTTTTTTTTTCGGACAATTCTTTTTTATTCTCGTCTGCCATTCTGGATGTGGATGGTTTAATTTTAACTACTGGTAATTGTTCTACTTGCTGGGTGCTGTCATTTGTATGCACCATAGCAACATGTCTCGTTAAATGATCCTCCATTAAGTACTTTGTTTGAAATATTTGTGGTCCACGATAGCCTTCCAATCTTAAATCTTTGATTTTTACATGACTTGTGTCACATTCTGCTTGATCCTTGATAATGAAATTGTCCTTATATTCAGTACTTTCATTTTTTAAATGATGATACCTGTCAATTGTCCTGGTAATTTCCAACTGTTGTCCTGTCTGTTTATCGACTGCTTTATATCTAATATTTTCCTTTTCCAGTTGCTGTATAATTTCGCGCATGTGTTTTATGCGTTTTATCCGCAGTACAATTTCCTCTTTAATTTTCAATTCATTCTTAAGTTTTTGCAGTAATGTCTTTTCATCCTTTTCCAGCTGTCGTCCGATGTCGCTCGAACTTGTTTCTGACGAAGTCTCCATCATCCTTCGTATATTATTTATCTTGATTTCATTCTTTTCTTCTGTAGTTGGAATGGATTTGGGTTGTCGTCTAGTCATCTTTCGTGTTACGGCTTGTAATTTTGTAACACGTTTGCGTATCAATGCCTTTTTCATTAATTGATTAGCCCTACTTACTTTTTGCTTACGCTTCAGTCTACGAATTACATTAATTTGGAACTTTTTGTCTGTCCGCAAAAGAAAATTCGTTAAACCAAGGTATTTTAAAGTTCTATTGTTCACTTTTATGAATCTTCTAACTACCTTGCCGTACCTTTGAACTATCACAACTTTACAATTATTTACTTTATTCTTATCATCTATTTGTTTTGTGATACATGTATTCTTTTGTGATACCTTATGTCTAATATCGCCTATCTTGCTTTCTATAATAGGATTTGTGGTAGTTCTATCCAACTTAGTTGTATCGAGATCAAATTGACGCGTAACTTCGTTCCCGCTATTATTGTGATTAACTAACTTATTTATGGGCTCAAGAGTTTTATTAATTTCAAGATCGTTATTGTTGTTAGTTTTACTCAATAACTCTATCGAATTTGGACAAATCGCTTTTAAATTTTCGATCCGTTTCGACTTTGATTTTTGTATATTAATCCAATTTTCTATTTCTTTCGTAAGTGACTGTACTAGTTGTTCCTCCTTTTGAGTATCTTTAGATTGATGTTTTGAAAAAGATAAGTCTTCCTCAACTTCATCACTTTTGTTGTTCTCAGAATGTTTTTCGTGAATAGTCTCCTGTAGTTCTTCTTTAATTTCCAAGGTTGGATAGTAACTGGTTAATAAATTCAAAATTACATAGAAATTAAAAAATTAAGAATACTTTTAACTTAATTTAGTTAATTTCAAATAAATTAATTTTTAACTTAATTTAATTTTAAACTTAAATTGATTAACTCTTTCTTTTTCAATTAAAATATTTTATTTCTCTAACAATATTTTTTTTTTATAAAATATGGAACATTAGAGAACTATAGAAGCTTTCACAGAAAGCTCAATGATTGAATGCATTCAATACTATAACCATTCACACTGTGTATCTGTTTGGTTTACATTTTTAAATCTAATGGATTATGGCACACAACTCATGAGACCTGTTCTTTTTAGCTAAACTTCTTGCATAGTTCAGCTCTTCTCTTTATCTTTCCAACGTGGAGAAAAAAAGAAGAAAGATCATGCAAGAACTTTAGCTAAAAAGAACAGATCTACAGTTAATTCTTAAAAGAAATTCAACTTATTTATTATCTCTTTCCAATTCTAGAATTGGAAAGGGATGAGAAATAAGTTGATTTTAAGAATTGACCATGAGTTATAAAACTAGACTTATGTCAATCAGCTACGAGAGCTTACTGAATTCTCAATAAACGGTTATAATACTGATATAGCATATCGTGATAGGTGGGATGCACGTTTGCTTAAAGATGAAATCGAGATGAAAGTGAGAAATTGATGAACTTAGGGACTGTATTTGCATTATTCTATCCTTGTTAAATGTCTAATTACCGACAAAATACTATTTGAAAATTCCTAAAAAATAAGTTTTTTTTATTATACAAGAAAAAATACATTGCTGTAAAAAATTATTTCTTTGTTATATAAAATTTACAAATAAAATATTAAATTTATTTAATGATCCATATCGTAATTGTCTTTTTATTTAAAGTAATCTGATTTTTTAAAAAATTAGAACTTTCTGATTGAATAAAAATATTTTACAAAATTAACTGTTTAATTCTGTTTAACTCGAGTTAATTAAATCTTAACATAATTTTAACCCTAAGTTAATTTTGTTCATTCAATTTGAAATTAATTTTATGAGCCATTATTAACTTCAACTTAATTTAGTTTTAAAAAAACATGAACTTACAGAACCCTGTTAATTCCACGATTTGTGGTGAGAACTGGGGATCTTTTTTCGACCATGCTAACTTCTCGTCGTTCTGGACTCGCATATTTATTGTTATCCATGGTTTGATTTTGTGTTCCTTCTTGGCTACTTATGCTAATGATATCAACATCTTCCTCAGTTAAATCCATAATTAATCGTTTGGTTTGATGTTTTTCTCCATATATTTCCATATATTTCTCTATCAAGTAAGATGAGTTGGTCTTACTTGGCTGTCGGATCATGTTAAGACTTTTTTCATCATTTGTTTCAATATTGTTAGACAAGCCGCTATTTAGCAAATATACACGCAAATATAATATCACTACAGTATTCGAATTTATATAAGTTTTGTAGAAACTCTATTTTGATATTTCTATGAAAATTATACAAAATTTTTTGAAAAACAACACAAAGTGTAAAACAAATAAAATAATTAATTTTTTATTTTAGCTTATGCTTTCTTAAACTTTTTGTTGCAAAATTTCATCAAAATTATAAGTATTTATATTTATAAATGACTACGTTTACATAGCTCAATCTATGCCGAAGTTGTAATATGTTATGAAACTGGCCAATCATAGCTATTCCTCTGAAGAATGAAATGATTATAATTGGCCAGTTTCAAAAATTGACTCGATGGTTATAATTTAGACGTAATCGATGTTATAATTCAGGCGTAAGTTGAGCTGCATAAATGTAGTGTATTATATGACTGAATTTGCATATAATGCGAATGTGTGAAAAAGAAGCTCGCTTAGCAACACTAGTTATGTTCTAAAGGTGTTCCATTTCATGTGCGAGATGCGTATGATATCATTTTACCAAATATTAAAGATAAAAAATATACATCATGCGCATCATGCGTAGATGCATCCTAAATTTAATGCTGAAAATGCTACAGTTACGTCTACTATCTCAGATAACATTTATGTTGCATAAGATATCTAAAAATCGTCTTTTAGATGTCTTATGTCTAAAAGATATTTAAAAGACATCTTGTAGATATCTTATACAACATGTTACTTGTATAGAGATTAGTACAACAGATAGTCAGTTTTGAAACATAGCCATTAATTTGTGTTATGACCGAATTCAGTTCACAATGTGCTTTTCGTTTGACGACAAAAGTCGACAAGTGTCGTTTTATCTTTGTCACTCTTTGAATGTCAAGAATGTTTGTGTCCCATCAAATGGAAAGCACCCAATATTTATCAACTTTTATTTGTTATAGTTTACCTAGTATTTATCAATTTTTCAAATTTACTGCTTTTCTGTAAGAACAAACAAATAAGTTGTTCAAGTCGGCAAAGCGATGTTTGTGAAACTTGATTAATTCTTACTTGTGGATGCAACCAATCATTTGTTTAATTATTCGACGAACAGACCTAGCCGCTTTGCCAACTTGAATAGATTTGAACTCGCCCAATGATTGGCTACTATGCTAATTTTCGCGCGGCAAAGCAGCAAGTTTTGCTGCGTTCCGTGTACATACAATTTCGATAAATACTGTAAACTAAATTCGATCACAATACAATTTCTATCTTGCATAATACATAACTATATAAATTTCCAATTTCGGAAATCTTCTAAAATGCCAAACGTCGTTACAATCGCTCGGATGTCGTTACCCACAATTGCTTGAACAACACTCAATACTTAGTGTTTCTCGCGGCTTACGAAATTACATCATTTTTGGGTCCAGATATCTCGGTATATTTCCGACGTATTATCACACACTCACATTCCGTATTTATTTGTGCTTCGCTACTTACTTTTCGATAAAAACAAGGATTATACTCACCCATTTTTAACCTTTCGTGACGATTTTCATGCTTTGGTTGGAAAAGACAAAGTGCTAACCGTAAATACCGTGATAACGCTACCGTCGTGAGTGTTCTGTCTACAGTGTCAATCTCCGTTTGATGAATAGAAATACTTTTTCTTCTTCGTTCCCTATTGGTCGGAACGTATATTCTTACGCGTGCCGATACGAACTTGCTAAACTTGTTTCACGATCGTTCTACGCTGTCTCTCGTTATGATTCTCTCTCTCTCTCTCTCTCTCTCTCTCTCTCTCTCTCTCGGCTTACTCTTCGTCTTTTTCTAGTTCTAGAGATTAGAATTAGATTAAAGTGATCTACATTAATCTACATGGTGAAAATGGGCATAAAGCCCAGTTCCAACTGACGATTAATTCAATCTAGGTTTAACTTATGCATTGTCTCTTTCCAATTTTAGAATCAGAAAAAGATGAGAAACAAGATAAATTTCGATTACAATTAACCATGAGTTGTGAAATTGGGTCTGACGCTGGGTTGTTCCACCTTTTGGTAAACTTCAGCTCACTGTCTTAGGACTGATTACATCGACGTTACTTTGATTTTAAATTAGGCAACCAGGCCTTACTCTTTTATTCTCTTATTTTTTTACTCTTTTACTTTGCTCTTTTGTTTATCCAGTAAATAAATTACTACATAGTTTATCCGAAGATGGAACAATTGACCGTAAGATCTGATTTCACCAACTTTGATTTATTACTTTGATTTTAAGCGATTTAAAACTCTTTCTGTCTCTGTTTCTTTTTAGATTTAAAATTCTCTCTGTCTCTTTTTCGCTTTAAAACGAGACAGATAGAATTTTAAGTCTCGCTTAAAGTCAAAGTGCAACTGAGCCTAAGACTATCAACATTACTTTGACTTTAAGTGAAGCTTAAAACTCTCACTTTCTCTCTTAAAGCCGAGAGAATGGGAGAGACAAAATTTTGTTTTGTTTAAAGTCGAAGTAAGTTGGTGCAATCGGATCTAAAGCAATTTAAGAAACTATAATATATAATACTGATCTAATGATTTATTAGCTTCGTAGACATGTTTAAAATAAAATACAATAACACTCAATTTTTATTTAAAACTGTAATTTTAATGTTATCGCGCGCGCCGAGTTTGATGATTATCAATATATAAGATGTATAGTAGTATATATTACAAGTATTTATGTATATACTTATTTATACCATATATAATAATCTATATAATAAAAAATCGTGAATATATATTATCCAAATATTTGTCAGTAATAATCGCAAATTTATATCAATTGTCGATAACGTCATTGTTCTTTATTATCACCGAACTCCATCATTTCTCCTCCTTGTTGTTTATTCATCAAATTTGTTATTTATCAAATGTTAAACAAGGATGTTTGCCAGCAGCTGGTGAGCATTGTAAGCGCCAAATAATCGATTGACCAATTTTTTTATTCTATGTATTGTAGATGATTCATAATATCGCGTGTAAAGGAATATGTAATAAATAGTTCTGCTAGTAGAACTATTGGAGAGGCAAGATATAAACTAATATAATCAAATGCTGTGTTCTGCTGAATTGAGATTATGATTGATTAGGATCAGATATAAACTATTGTCTAGCACTGCTGATAACTATGAATTGACTATCGACAGCCGGAATGATAAGAGATAGTACGAGACATTTATTTGGTGCGAGTGTACGTATTCTTGTTAAAGGTTAACTTGAATTAATATTAGGTGTGGGAAAAAGTTCGTGGCGTTTTTCCCGTTAGATGTAACGTTACATCTAACGGGAAAAACGCCACGAACTTTTTCCTATACCTAATAGGTTAACTTGAATTAAAGGTTAATTGTGAATATTTTGGTTATATCAATATTTCACATGCAATCGAAGGCTTTTGAACGTCGCAGTTCTGAAAAGGTACAGAAATAGAAGATGTTTAAGATCCTTCTTAGACATTTTCAAATCATGATATAAAAAAATCTTCACATTGAAGGTTAAGTATGCCTACATACTTAATTTTTGATATATAATTGGAAGAATTGATTGCACTATCAATTCTTCCAATTTGTCTTCTTTTCATAATTTATTTTTTTTATATTCTTTATTTGTTGCGTTTTCTGATTTATTCGCCTACAATCTACAGGATTCGATATTTCGATATCTCATATTGAAGAAGCTAATTCATGAATAATTCACTCTACAATTTTTTTTAGAATGGAAGATGTCTTTGTCAAATCAAATGTTTAAATGTGACTGTATAAAAACAAATAATTTGACAAAAGATGAACTAAATCGAATAACTGACGATGTAAATAAAGCTTTAATTGATCCAAAAGGCAATGAACTTTTTGAAAGCTATCTTTCTCAATTCAAGTTTTTGGATGGTTTAGTAAGTTTGAGGTTGTACAACACCTGTTCAGAGATCCTGAATGAAAAGCAGAATAGATCGTGAGTCTATTTGTAATATGACCTTATATTTTTATTACAAGATAATAATGTTCATATATTTTTATAATACTCAAGGTTAATACTTAAGATAGATTACTACATTTTTTATAAAATATGTGTAGTTATGTAATAATATTGATTGGGAAAAACAAATATATGTTTAAATAAAAATAATATGTAATATACATATATATGATATATCTCAAAACATCCAAAGTTTATATTAACAATCAAGGAAATTTACAGGAGTCAAAGCAATTTATCGGAAGAATCATTGGAATTACTTATTACTAAAGTAAAAATGATAAAGAAGACTATCGAAGAAGAAGATATAACTGCAATAGATTTTCATATTATGACAGACTTGAACAAAGCTTTGGAGGCAAAAAACAAAGAAAAATTACTCGGTGTATTAGAAAGGATCAAAGAAGAATGTCAAAATAGTCTACGAGATTTGCACCAAAATTTTAGATGTTACGTCTTGAAAAAATAACATTTGAAATTTTTTAAAAATATTAGGTGAGAAAAAGTTCGTGACGTTTTTTTAATGCCATTTTAACGGGAAAAACGCCACCTAATATTAACTTAAAATTTTTACATTTTTCTTTTTTTTCTTTTTTGCAGTTGTGCATTACGAAGATCCATGATGTTTGTTCCTACATAATTTATTTTTATTTATACAGTTTACACTGTACAATGTACTTATTATCCCAAAGTATTTACTATAACAGCTCAGATAAAACTAAAGTTAAAGTAAGAATATATTTTAGATACCATCTAATACTTTCAGAGTAAAATCTCATTCTTAAAAATTGAAAATTAAGTCACTTTTTCAAAACCTGGCTTTTCATTTCTTATAATGAGATTCCATTTCACAGAAGGATAGAGTAAGAATAATATATGGTTCCTTATGTAAAAGCGATCGATTCATAGTCAGATACTTTAATTTCGATTATTTTCTCATGTATATACTTCTAAATAAGAGACTGATTGTAAAGTAAGACGAATTAACTCGATTAGAAAATAATAAATTGAAACATTTTTCTAAGTTAATACAGATTTAGTCATTGTAGCTAACTCAGTGTATACCCGATGTATTTAAAATGAAATATATATATATATAAATATATTTGAATTTTGCCGAAAGCGAGATAAAAAGTTTAGTAAGCAATAAAGAACAGGCCTATGAATCAGTCGCTTTATATCGCTTTGTGTTTATTTATTTATTTATTTATTTAATTGTTATGACAACGAACATACAGAGGCTTAATAAATCTTGTCAACTAGTTTTATACGTCTTCTCTGTTGTTGTATCCTTTCTACTGTCAGTCAAATCACATCACAATTGATAAATGTTGAATATGAGACACGTGGATAAATCAGAGGAAAAATACATCGCAACGATTAATCGAATCCGTGATACTATCCGTAAATTAGAAGAAACTACGAAGTATTCACGGGATTTGGAAGCTGTTCGATTTCTGCGGTATTCTATGTTGAAATCTCACGATAAAATTCTGACGGACGACCTGAGGAAAATTAAAATACGAAATAAACAGATGTTAAGTGAGAGCAAAATTTCTATTTAACATATTTAGTAATCTGGTCGTCATCTGATTGGAAGGTCCCTTTTTAGATTTATTTCGACAAAGTGTCACGGACATTCAACTCAGTTCTCTCGACATACTGCCTGAAACTCTAAGGAGACAAGTGCAGAAAACATGGCACCAGAAGTAATTTCCTCTATCCATCATATCATTAATGATTTATATGTTGACACGTTAATTTCAGATACGACGCTCTGTTATCTCAAAACGAACAATTAAAGAGACAAATTGTCGCTTTAGATTGCGCGATGAAACAGAAACAGAAAGAGGTATGTTTGACTATAGCTGTATCATATTTGTATCTCAACCATCGAGTTTAACGAAAGTACGATTTTCTTATTTAAAAAACGAGTAATATTCATTTTTCCATTTTTAATTAATATGGACTAACTTTAATCTTGATTTAACTTACTTTTTATCTTCTTCTAATTTTAAGAATTAGAAAAAAATTAAAATTAAATTTAAAATAAATTTTAAAAAAATCGAGATTAATCTACATTGGTAGAAATGTGTATTTTAGGATGAAATTTTTAATAGGCTAAGTTAATTGATTTCTTGGAGTTATATTATGTAATAAAAGTGTAATTACTTTTCTTATGTTGAATTAGAAGAAATTTTCTAATTTTTATGTTTTTCAAATTCAAGTAATTTATATATATATTTTTTATGAACGTAGACACTAGGCATTCTTTTTTTACTTTTCTTTAAGAAGGTAATTTTTATAATGATTGACAATATCATGAAAATATGAAATATACATGTGTAATCTTTTTGCAACTCGTACGCTACATATTAATTATAAGTTTAATATTAATTTATGCGTCAAATTAATTAAGTTTTCCTCTTATTTGATTCAATTTAATAGTGGCAAATAGTGAGATTATTTATGACTTATTTTAAGTATCAAAGCACCAACAAATATTGCCTTCCAGTATTAAATTGGTTCAAATTTCTGCAAGGATATTGTCTCAAGTTACATGTTTAATTTATATATAATTCGTAAATTATAAATTATATAATATCCATTAATATGCAATTAATATTGTTATCGTCTTTGCATTATCTGATTTGTACTGAAGTGGTTTGTATATTGTAGATCGATATTTTGCAACAAAAATTATTCATCGCAGAGAACGTAAATTCTAAGGCAAACACTGAAAAGATTTGCAGAAAGTGCTGGATTCTGACGAACAAAACTTAAAAATTATATATAAGACGCACAGATGTTTAAGATAAAAAAAACCTACTATAAACTGTTGTATTTAAAAATAAAGTTTTTGAATAAGGTAAAATATGTGCCTATTTGAAAGAATCATTTCAAGCATTAAATGAACGCATTTGAAATTGAAGAGAAATAATGCTTGACAGAAATAACTTACGTTAGTAAGACAATTAAGGGATTTAGTTATAATCTGATTGCGAAAGTAGACGAAAGGTCTGTGGCTTCCCTATATGAGTAACATACAATATTTGCCAGTCTCAGTGGTATATGTATTCTGGGATCATTCCCAAAAACAAGTGAGATAAAAAGAAAATTTTTTGTAAGTCAATCTCAAAATCGATTAATTAAATTGGCGGGTAATGCGATGTTGATGATTATATGTCGTCACATTTTGATATCAAATAATGTCAGTTTGCTACGATACGTCAGTTTGTCTGGATACGTTATCTAAAATTATTTTTGTAGCCATAATTTTACTCAGCTTAAGAAATTAAATTGGAATTATTTTAGATTTTGATATTAATGAAGCCATTAAAAAAAACTTACTAAAACTGATCTGTTTAGAATTAGTTAATTGACAACTTTTTAAGGTTTCAGATGAGAGATGCAACCAGAAGGATCAAATTCGATTGTTTTGAGTAGAATTATGCGTCGGAAATTATGGGAATTATTGGGAATTACTTGCATCTTTTTATTCGCTCCGCTTATCGTGATTACTTTAATCTTTTTATATATCTATCGTTATTTTATCGAAATTGTATTAAAAATCCAGTTAAGGAACAAGTTCATTGGTCTCTTGAAAGGTACAGATTGTGTATGGGCCGTTGAAGATGCCGTTTCTTTATCCGTTATCAACATCTTGATGATATTGGAGAAAGTCGCGCGGAACTCAAACGAAATTTTCTTGGAGGATTTCAAGAATTTGATAAACGATCGCATTGTTTTAAAGGCTGCTGATACGACGATTGAGAAACTGTTCTATCTTCGAAGTCAGAGATTCGGCTATTATTTTTGGCAAAGAAGCGAGAAAATAGATCTGAAAGATAGAATCAGATGGTTGGAATGTGTGAACGCTAATTGTAATGGATCCTGCGAAGATGTTTACAGTGAATCATTTAGGAAAACTTTGGAAAATGTATGCAATAAACCATTGCCCGATAATCATAAAGCCGCGTGGGAGATTCTCATTGGAAAACGTTGTCCGAAGTCGAGATCTAACTTCGAAGAAGGCCGTTTGTCTTCCGAAAAATGCATCGATACTGATATCCGGAAAATTCCTATGTTATTTCGCGTTCATCATTCTTTAGGCGATGGAGTAGCCCTTCTAGGCTTGTTACTCAAAATGATTATCGAGGAGACTGAGATCAAAGAGACGAGAGTAAAAATCAAGAATATCGTCTCATCAAGTGAGACTGGAAAACGTTTCAAAGAAATCATTCCAGCATTGCGAAATTCGGAGAGGAATTTTCAGAACGAGATGGATGTTGTGCGATTCTATGAAAAGAATATCCTTGCCGCATCAATGCAGTTTACTTACGTAACGTTTTTATTAATGCAAGATCTACGAGACCATTTTCACAAATCAATAAAATTTTCTAATGTAATGATCGTGTCTTTGATACAGCAAGCCAAAATATCTATCGATCGTATATGGTTGAATTTCAAAAACGTACTAAAACAAATGTATAGTACAATTAAAGATGTCACGCGGCTAACGATGATTTTGCTTTCTTTTCCGAAATTCATCATTCGACAAGCTGTCCGTAAGATGGATAAAAAGTACATTCAGTATTTCTATTGTAGATTTAATATGTTTAATCCATTTTATTAAAAATAAAATGAATAAATATATATATAT